GAAACAGGAAAATCTCCCAATCTTATTGAATTATAAAGCTGTTGTATTATATATTTGTACCTCTAAAACAACACAGGACCTTTCTCTTCCACTTTATTTTGTCAGATATTTGAGTAGCTGGTATATTAACGTGGCCTTACATATACAGTTGATGTGAGAAATCCCTGACTGCTATATCATATGCCCAGAGGTGTATTCTTCTGTGATCAAAACAGTCTTTTTTAAAATCAAATAACTTTTAAAGATGTAAATTTCTAATTTCTTTTGTGAAACATACATTAAAAACGTAATTTATTTTGATCCTCCTGAAAAGCTGGTTTAGGATCTGTTAAGATCATATAAATGGTGGCCTAACATGATTTGTCACAGGTGTTGGTTTGATATACCAACAGGAAGTTCTTCTTACCACAACAAAGATGATAGGAAGATGTTTGACTCCCAAAGGGATAAAGAAGAGTTACCCTGATGGTTTATAGATAAAGGGGTTGTTAGTCCATCTCTCAAAACACAGGTGTATAAACTTAATTTTTGACTTATCCCTACTGGTACAGATCCTCGTTATAACTTATAAAGGTCATAGATAGGCAAAGGTCATAGGCAAAGGTCATAGATATGCAAATTTTAGCTTTTAAGTCGTCAGCTATTTTGATAAATGTTTTTTTTTAATTGTATTTTATATAATACATTTCTTATTCATGTATGTTTAAAAGGATGAATTATTTGTAAAATACAAGTATTTCATCCACATGGATCAAATTTAAGATACTGCAAATTTATCAATAGACTTATATAGTATCATAATGAAAGGGGTTCACCTTGATAAGGGAAGTAACTCTTCAGTTGGAAAACGTAAGGGAGTTAACACAGAGTAAATCATTATCTCAGATTGAACTCTTCAACTTGATGTAGTAGTGCCTTTGTCTTTAATTTCTACTCATACAGGAAAAACTCTTTTTAACAAATCTGTCTTATTAAGGGTGAAAAAAGGCAGTTTATACATGGGTTTTGACATTATATCATAATTCAGGGAGATATGAATAGAATAAAAAATAAAAATAAAATGAAGGACAATGTTTTTGCTCTATAAGATCAGTTTGAAAGAGGTACGCTGAGCCGGTTTTATATCTAAATAACATCCAAATTTAAGTGTAAATTTCGAATTGGTTCAAATTCAAACCAATATTTTTTTCAAGAACTATAGTGTAATATCGGATATCAACAACTTTTACAGTATGATAACACGGTTAAAATGGTAATATATCACATGTTCACATATTTCAAACGATTGTTTATTGTGACAGTGATTTAAGTTTCCATTCAATGTTTGACAAAAAATTGTATGTAGGTCATTTCTTGTGTGAAATATGAACATTAATATTCAAAGCACGGCCCCGACATGTGTAAATTGCTCTACTCAACTCAAAAGTGCAAATTTTCTGCTTGATAATCACCTGATTTTATCTAAAAGGAAAGCTAATTATCGTGAAAGTGAAAAAGCATGAACACTATCATAACACTGGTACTGATCTACTGGAGTGGGAAAATTGTCCCATTTTTGGATAAAGGCTTTACCAGATAGGACGTACCAATCATAGCCATTAAACTGGATCTCGAAACCTTTTGTTTGGCACATTATTTTACCCTGGTAATCCAAGGGAGCTCTTAAAATCTTCTTAACAGTCCACACAAAATGAAAGGCAATCTGTCCCAATAGACAAGACACCTATACATGTACAAAGATCACCTAATTAGAATTTGTTTTGAAATGTGTGATAATCTGTCAACATACAAACTTAAAACTGAGTCACACTTCAACTTGCAATGATCTGATTATTCTATCAAAAAACATTCACTTTGAATTACAAATTTTTCAAAGTTAGAGATCTTCATAGGTTTTTTTTCAATTGAGTTTGAAGTGAAAACTTACTGTATATGCCAAACTCTTCATTATGATGTTGGGTTTCTGTATAGAAGCTACTTTAAATGATTGTAGATGTGTCTGTAGGTATAAAGAGGGATGAAACCATTGCCAGGTGATCCCCACCTCTGATTTGTAGTCTGATACTCCGTAGTTTCCTTGTTGTTCCTGTAGACGGCCAGCAACTTTTAGAGAGATTTGTCGGTATCAGTTCAGACTAATATTCCAGTGATTATTCTACTTGTAACAATACACAGAGATTGTGCTTGTCACAGTTGGTTTTCTAAAATCAGGAAGGGTAGATAACTCTGTATCAGCTCATAGATTGTTGATTAAGGGAATTAGTTGATCTTCTAAAATATATCTATAAGCTTTAATCTTAGAAGATTTATACCCACGTGAAAATTTGCACCTCTTTGAAAAGAAATTATTCCAAGAGAGGAATCAACATAAAAGAAAGGTTTTATAGGAATTGTTAAAAAACCTTTCTATTTTTCAAGATTGATTCTAAAAGTTAAGTTCATATTAACAAGAAATCTCGCTTATTCAAACTTGCCAATATTTTAATACATGTAGATTAAATAAGAGACAGAAACTCAAAATTCATGTTGGTTTATTAATACATTTGGATATTACTTTGTATCTAGATTATAGTAATTTTCTGAATCTTTTTGGAAGAGGTCAAGGTGAACAGGCCTGATTAGCACATTTCCATTTCTTTAAACACCTAGGTATCATTACAGTAGAGCACGAAAACGGACTATCTCTTTGTAATCTTGGACACATTAGCTTTGAAATATACAACTTATATATTTTTTTTATTGGGATAGAAAAAAACTGGACCGTATTTCTGTGTTAAGTATACTGACCAGTAACTGTCAGTCTGGACCAGTATCAACAGCAGTCTACGAGGTGGATTGTATGTGTGATACCAATCTAGCTGACTTTTATAAACTATAACATGGGACTCCAGGAGCGTTTACACAGCTTTATGCCAGTAATCTACTTATCTTTGTAAACCATGACGTTTTTGTTTTGTAAAACCATCACACTATTTGGGAAACTCTGAGGCTAATCTTTTTACCAATCAGGTCTCCCCATGGGCATCAGTTCTGAAGAGTGAGGGAAGAATTCTGGAAGATTTCTTTGATATCAGTCGGTATTGATAAACGGTATCTCTTTATTTGATATTTAAAAAACACCAGGCTGGCCTATATAGCTGTCCATTTATATTTTCAAGATTGCTGAACTGAATCTCATGTGCAGAGCTTGGACTCTTAAGATCTTATTAGAGTTTAAAGTTGTCTATCTTTAACTTAAGATTCCAAAAGTGCAACCTACAGATAACAATAATTTAAGTCCACAAAACATATTTAAATTCCTTCAGAGACTTGATGGTTTATTTTGTTGAAAATCAAAATCAAAATTTATTTAATGATGAATTGTTCAATGCTGGTTATTAACATTTTAAATCTTTATTGGGTCATAGGATTCAAACTGTCTCTTCCTTCAGTGTACAGTTGTAATACAGCAAACTTACTTCAATAATAATAAGGTTTTCAGTAATTTAACACTTGTTTCCTTACTGAACATTCATATCAATTGGAACTTTGTTAAATTGAAAATTATATGTTGAGGTTTGCCGTAAACATAATTCACAACATTAAGAAATCCTAATGTGTCCAACACATATACATTTATAGTGTTTATGGTTTCTCATACATCACTTTATTTGACCTTAAAGAATTTTATGAAAAGCTAACAAAATTATTTTTCATGTAAATAAAGATTTACCCTTTCATTGTAAGTATTGTTAAAATGAGGTTCCTCAGAAAAGCGCCATCTGTATTTGCTGTATAGAAAAAATCATGAATTTAAGTTATTTGAATTGAAAACGTGAATGGATATTCCATCGTAAACAGGCATTTACCTCCAGTCCCCTTTGTGACAATTTATGATATGATCCTTTAAAAAGGACACATCTGAAGCTTCACTACTACATTAACTGGCCCCCTCTCAGAGAATGTATGTTTTTTTAATGTCATAAAAATATTTTGTGGAGTAATGTATGGAAGTCAGTTGTTGAACGATATCATTATGTCTGTCAACTTCCACTTAATACCCTATACTCATGTGGCTGGTGTCACCAGTTTTAATACTGGGGCTGACGAGGTGGATAGGAGATTTATTGGGCCCTGACAGATAGATGGGAGGAGTGTCCAGGTATTCGAGTAGGTTTTGAGGGGCTACTTCATGTTGACATGTTGCATGTCTCAATAGCTTTCAGAAGTTTGATGCTGTATTTTATTTGTAAGATATTTGTTCTTGAAAGAAGCCCTCATGCTGGTTTGCCGAAAAAGAAGCTTTACTATAAGAAATACTTTGTTGGTATTTTCAAAATATTCCCAGTGATATTTCAGAGCATTTTCAATGTAATTATGACTAGTAATGTTTTATAATGACTTAGATCAAATTTCTATATCTGGGCAAATCACGTGAAGTGACTTTTTTTTTTTTAAAAAAAAAGCTCAGAAAGACTCCAGACAAATTGGAACTCTTATTTGCCGAGTACACTGCCTTAAATCCTTTACTCCACAATTATAGGCCAGATAATGTCATCTTTAACAGCCCAACTAGGCTAAAATGGACAGCACACAGTGATATATCATCTAACAGAATTTGGAAAAAAACCTTAATTCTGTTGAAAGGACATGGTATATCAAAGAGAAATATTTATCATGATGTAACTACTAAAACATGTTGGGTTCTGGAAGACATGACATCAATCATTAATATAATTATCAATCTCATCTACTTCATTGAAATTCCAGTTTTCACAAGACCAAGTTCATCAGTTTAAATTGCTCCAAGAACATGATCATACAAATTCAGAAAAACACAAAAGCTGACATGTTACATGTTATTCATGAAGACAGATGCACACAAACATATACATTTTAATAATTGCAATTAATGATGACCAAAATTGGAATTTTTTGTATCTTTTTATAGCTTTTTTGAGGATCAATTACAGGATTTAGTGTTTTATTTTTACCCTTTGTTTTCTCTTTTATCTTTCTAGAACTTTCCAACCTGCAGCAGGTTTTCCATATTTTCCGTAATGATGACCTGGAAGGTTATGTACAGCTGACTGTAGATATCCCAAGGGACCAGCTCCTAGTAGGGGCCAGGTAGGTTATGTACAGCTGACTGTAGATATACCAAGGGACCAGCTCCTAGTAGGGGCCAGGTAGGTTATGTACAGCTGACTGTAGATATACCAAGGGACCAGCTCCTAGTAGGGGCCAGGTAGGTTATATACAACTGACTGTAGATATCCCAAGGGACCAGCTCCTAGTTGGGGCCAGGTAGGTTATATACAACTGACTGTAGATATCCCAAGGGACCAGCTCCTAGTGAGGGCCAGGTAGGTTATATACAGCTGACTGTAGATATCCCAAGGGACCAGCTCCTAGTGGGGGCCAGGTAGGTTATATACAACTGACTGTAGATATCCCAAGGGACCAGCTCCTAGTGGGGGCCAGGTAGGTTATATACAGTTTAATGATAAACTACAATACGTACATGTATTTACAAAACTAAATAGAGGTGAATCAAATTGCCAGGCTGAGTATAGGTAAATTGGTGTTAAAATAATTTGAGTACAGGTAAATTAGTGTTCAAATAGAATGAATACTGGTTAATTGGTTTTCAAGTAGATTTGAGGACAGGTAAATTGTTCCTATAAACTTTAGTATAGGTAAATTAGTGTTCAAACTGATTTCAGGACAGGTAAATTGTTCCTATAAACTTTAGTATAAGTAAATTAGTGTTCAAACTGATTTGAGGACAGGTAAATTGTTCCTATAAACTTTAGTATAGTAAATTAGTAAAACTGATTTGAGGACAGGTAAATTGTTCCTATAAACTTTAGTATAAGTAAATTAGTGTTCAAACTGATTTGATGACAGGTAAATTGTTCCTATAAACTTTAGTATAGGTAAATTAGTGTTCAAACTGATTTGAGGACAGGTAAATTGTTCCTATAAACTTTAGTATAGGTAAATTAGTGTTCAAACTGATTTGAGGACAGGTAAATTGTTCCTATAAACTTTAGTATAGGTAAATTAGTGTTCAAACTGATTTGAGGACAGGTAAATTGTTCCTATAAACTTTAGTATAGGTAGATTAGTGTTCAAACTGATTTGAGGACAGGTAAATTGTTCCTATAAACTTTAGTATAGGTAGATTAGTGTTCAAACTGATTTGAGGACAGGTAAATTGTTCCTATAAACTTTAGTATAGGTAAATTAGTGTTCAAACTGATTTGAGGACAGGTAAATTGTTCCTATAAACTTTAGTATAGGTAGATTAGTGTTCAAACTGATTTGAGGACAGGTAAATTGGTGTGAAAATAGACTTGAGTACAGGTAAATTGGTATGGTATCAAGTATGGGTTATTTTTCATATTTATCTTTATAATTGGGTCTGGCATCAACAAGAGATTTTGACAACATTTTAACATTATTTGATACAGGGGCGTGTTGTTCCGGATGAGCTTGGACAATCTGACTGTAATCCAAACAGTAGAATGGAGATCTACAGAGGAAACACGCATGTTATGTAATAACAAAGGAGTAGATCCGGTAAGTTACACAACTTTGTCTCAATACATGTCTTGAAACTCTTCTCGTCAGACTTGGTACTTAGTCGAAACTTCTCTCTCCATCCTTAAATCCATCTGTTATACGCTGATACACCTATTTTTAAAACAGTGTTCAAAAAGTAGCTAAAGTTTCAGTGAGGATGAAGAAAAATCCTGTTGGCACTCAACACCTGTAGATAATGATTGCTCCCCCACAGAGTCAACTACTGATTACTCCCTGTAGTGATTTGATATTTTTCCTGATCTGTCGTATCAGAGTTAGTATCTGAGTTTTACCTGATAAGCAGCCCATCCTGTCTCTCTGAAGAAGTTACTGTCCAGGATTCCTCCCAATCTTTTAAATCAACACCAACTTTAGAAGGTGGTAAATATACGATTCCCCTTTACGTCATTTGTATCAAGGCCTCTAAGATTTTTTTCTCTGATAAGAAAAAAATCAAACATGACATTGTAACCATTTTCTGCCTCTTCCTGTTGAGCAGTAGAAGCGCGGAGATTTCTTTAGAGTATGTCCATCTGTCAGAGTCAATCTGTCCATTCATCCCAAAACTCCAATCTCTTTTCTATCGGGTAATTATTTCATCAGAACAGGTTGAAACCTGTGTCTTACACTACTTAATACATTATAGATGTTTTATACCCCCCCAGTATAAACTTCTACATTTTGGAAGCTGTGCAATCTGAGTCAGTTATCGGATAAATGATTTTAAGATCGTTATTAAGAAACTACAGTATACTAAGAAAAACTCTACCAAGTTACCATAATATTACAAAAATTTGAGGGAGAGAATATTAAATAAATTTGATGATGTTTAGTTTTTGGTACATTAGGCGAAATTAGCTTGCTAATATGCAAATGATCATTGGTACAAAAATTGTTTACATTCAACACTGTTTGTGTTGTGATGTAGATATCATTATTTTTAGTCACTTTCCTTTTAACCAGAGTGTATTATAACTATTGTATTTAACAAACAACAAGCCCATCCCTGGCATTAAGCCCACTCACATATATTGGTTTTCAGTAGGAAAAAAGGATAAACATGGAGAATGAAATCATATTATTATATTGGTACTCAATTTTTTTAAATTTTGGGTAACAGCTCTTGTAAATAACCTGCATACTATGATATATTGTCCTTCCAGCATAGCAAGTATCTGATATTTGTATGTTTCAGAGTGAGTGTTACAACTTCATCCGGGTGCTACTGGTTCACGAGGACCAGGTGATTTCTTGTGGGACCAACTCATACAAACCCATCTGTACCTGGCGACAGGTAAGTCAAGTGTAATATATATTTATATACTGACACGTATGTCTGGTACAAGTGAATACACATTTTGTATAATAATATAACACCTGATAGAAGACACCAGAGAAATTGTAGATGTCAGTGTCAAGTGTCACTTTCTGAATCTGTAGTGAAGGCAATGTGAATTTGTTAAAATTTAAATTTCAGATCAATTACTGCTCCAGAATTATAATTGAATAAAGCATCGTTTAGATTTTAGAAACTGTAAATGAAATTTTGCAAGAAATTCTTAGATTTTATTTCAATTCTCAGATAATGTTGCCTTGTAAAAATTCTGCTAATGACCTAAGGGAGTTAACTCTTATAAATAATTTTGTGCAGCCTGAAGATCTCAGTAATATAACACAACAAGAAGGAGGTATAGGATTCTGTCCGCTAAATCCTAATGAAAATTCCACAGCTCTGATGACAACTGATGGCAACTTTTACAGTTCAACACCAGTAGACATCACAGGACGGGAATCCCTTATCTATAGAATTTATGGTGACAGGTCACAGCTAAGAACATTGGCAAATTCTAAATGGCTTAATGGTGAGAAACAGTACAAATCATAATTCTTGCACCTCAAGATCCTAAGCTGAATATATATATGATACAGATTTTTAGATGGTCTATTTTATAGAAGTTTCACATGCAGGACCATTTTGCTTGAGGTCAGACAAATTATAAAATATCTCCAGATTTTGGATTCAGTAGAATATGCTATTCCTTTGATTCTGATTAGGGACCTATTTTATTTTGTTAATACTATTATTATTTTTGTCTGTTTCAGAGCCTGATTTTATTAGTTCCTATGAAATAGGAGATTTTGTTTATTTTTTCTTCCGAGAAGTTGCTGTAGAGTATATTAATTGTGGCAAAGTAAGTATTCTATTGTCCTTACACAATAATCATCCAAACAAACAGTATAAAGTTTGTTGTTAGGTTTCAGGCTATCCATGAGGAGATCTTAATGTAAATCAGTATACTGCTAAGCCAACATCATATATTACATTATGTTCGATCATATTTGTCCAAGAGCAGGACATGTTGGTTGTACTGTTATTAATTATCTGTGTTTTCTCTTTCAGAGAATTTACTCTAGAGTAGCAAGAATTTGTAAGGTAAGTTTATCAAAATTTATTTCTCTTTCTATAACATTACATTCAAATTCAGTGCAAAATGATAAAAAGTATATTAATCTTTGCGATTTTGTGATAAGACTCGTTTGTTATCATCCTAAAAGTATGAAATACATTTTCAAAGTGAAACCAACACCTATTTAACAGAGTTCTACTAAACTTTATTTAAGTCCCACATAAGATTGGTTTTGTATAACAGTTTTCCACCTTTTCCTATCCCAAATATAGTTCTTCCAATGATTTGTAATATCTTATTATGGTTGTATATTCACACATGTTTTTCCCTCTGCCATCATTTAAAGGGCAAGTAACATCTTCCCTGCCCTTTCATCTTGTCCCGTTATTTCCAAATCACTGTCAAAGGTATACCTTATAGTTGAGAATCTCTCCAAGGTCTATACTTAGGTACCTCATGTATACACCTAATCAGATTCTGACTTTTATAGAAGTATGTGGAAGGGAGGGGGATTCATGTTTTATAGACTTTTCTAGTTAACTGTAGAATTAACAAATTTGAAATGATACATACCTTTTTCAAAAATCAGCTCAGTCCATGTGGAAAGGACCTTGTTTAGTTTACAACTTTTTAAATAGGATTAATATACAAAACATTTTATTGACCTTGAAATCATTTGGGATTATTTTTCAGACGGATCGAGGAGGAAATGTGGTGCTGGAGGATAAATTCACGACATACCATAAAGCGAGAATGAACTGCTCCCTGTCGGGCGATTATCCATTTTATTTTGATGAAATTCAGGCTACACATTTATTAACAACACCCAATGGAGATAAATTCCTTTATGCTATTTTCACCACCCCAATGTAAGTAATTTTTAATGGTGTGCAGCTTCAAATTTAAAAAAATAAAATGTTATATCATTAATAAAATGACTGTTAAAAATTGAATTCAAGAGGACAAATCTTATCGAAATTTTCTTTTCATATTTCAAAATTTCATGTGAATTCAGTGTCATATTTTGTGGAGAAAATCCTAGATCAGAAATAATGTCCTTAGATTGGAATGTCTTTTATATTTTTTCCATCTGAACATGTAAATGTGTGATGTTTAATTGTTACTGATATTACAGGAACAGCATAGCTGGATCAGCAATCTGTACATTTAATATGTCAGCATTCCACACAGCTCTGACAGGACCCTACAAATACCAACAAAATGACCGTTCTGTTTGGGAACCGTATGAAAACATTCACCCTCTTATAGAGGTATGTCACTATCTATCGTGAAATGTATTCCATTATCTGTAATCACAGAAGAATACAAAGTGTGCTATTGATATTAATAACCATCACAGCTAAAGATCAAAGATACTGATACATTGGTGATTTATCTAAATAGTCTATATATTTTTACAAACATCAGAACCTAATATCATACAGACTCAACAACCTTTAAACTACTGCATCACAGTATTCTGTTAAAAGACATATTTGGCTTTAGTTACTCCAGAATACCAGCAGAAATGTTATATTGGGAAAGACTGATGTCCTGGGGGTCTTCCATCCATCCTCAGTAGATACATGTATTGGAACAAATCTGGTTAAGAATTTGCTCTAATTTCATTTTTGCTTTTAATAGTGTCCATCTGATGAAACAACAAATAAGAGGACAGCTGATGATAGTCTACTCAACAAAGCAGAACAACAGATAATGAATGCCCAAGAGTTCCAGATGATGGACCTAGCAGTACAACCGACCTCTATACAGCCTGCCTTAGTAGGGCAGAATGAAAGGTAGCTTATTTTTCACTCCTTGGCCAAACTTGACAAAAGCTGGGAATTCTGGGTCATGTGTCTGTTTTTGGATAGGATGAGACATTTAGAATTAATTGGTATGAAATGAAACATAAGGAAAGCATCATTCATCTAATTCCCTCTGATGGAGAAGAACTAAAGCTGATGTACAACACTCTCTGATGGTGAAAAACAATGAAAAGGTAAAAAGCAATTCCCTCCAGTGGAAAAGACGGGATATGATTAGGTAGCTTTTGGAGACCCTTCCAATAGGAAAATTGAAGAGGAGATGATCAGAGTTACACAGCTCCCTTAGGTGTTAGGGAGTTTAAGTAGTCCCCACTGGTGTTAGGGATTGTAAGTAGTCCCCACTGGTGTTAGGGAGTTTAAGTAGTCCCCACTGGTGTTAGGGATTTTAAGTAGTCCCCACTGGTGTTAGGGATTGTAAGTAGTCCCCACTGGTGTTAGGGATTTTAAGTAGTCCCCACTGGTGTTAGGGATTTTAAGTAGTCCCCACTGGTGTTAGGGATTTTAAGTAGTCCCCACTGGTGTTAGGGATTTTAAGTAGTCCCCACTGGTGTTGGGAATTTTAAGTAGTCCCCACTGGTGTTAGGGATTTTAAGTAGTCCCCACTGCTGTAACTATTTACTATTGGCATACAAGTCAGATAATAATTTAAGGTCAAAGTTTCTGCATCTCCATCATGGATTATGTACTGAATGATCAATTTGGGTAAATAGGGCAAAGCATTTATTTCAGACAAAATGCAGGGGAAATGAAACAAATCTAAAACAAACAAACAAAATTACAGTATAATAAACACGAAGGTCTTGCTTCTTGTTCATTTCGTTTTGGTTTGCTTCTCAATATAAGGTGACAGACATTGCACTGTTGTGATTTTTACATAGGTGGACACATGTGGTGGTGGATTACGTGGAGGGGAAACACCATTCATACAGAATCATGTTTCTAGCCACGGACACTGGAAGCATACGTAAAATTACAACCATCCCCGATATCAAGGACACCTGTCTTCTGGAGGAGATCAAAGTGGTTCCTAATGGAGACCACAAACCTGTGAAGACACTTCAGATAGACAAACGGGTGGTAAGTATATATATATATACATGTAAAACGGTAACAACATTGGCCAAAATGTCCTATTTTCAAAAAGAAAAGGGGAAAAGTGTACTTTGTTTGTTTAATGATATTAAGACTTTCTTGGTTTATCTCAAATTTTTGTTTCGATTGTAGGGAGCCATCTTTGTTGTCACTCATGGAACCCTGATCAGAATTCCCTTACACAGATGTGAACGGTTTACATCCCGAGAGTGAGTTCTTCATTACAGTAAATTTAGCGCATAGATTTCAGTCTGTGAATTTCAATTCTATACTCTGTTTATAATTCTCTAATAAAACTTTAATTTTACATGACACTGTAAACAAAAATTGCTCATGCTGTCAAATAAAACATGAAGTAATTCATTTGACAGCAGTGTACATTAAACTTTGACATCAGAAATTTGATAAGCAATTCTCCTTCTGTAATGACACATTTTTTACTGATAATGATGTGGTTATCTCCCTTAGTCTGTGTTTGAATGCCATGGATCCATACTGTGGCTGGAACCAAGCCATTGATCAGTGTACCACAGCTCCAGATGGGATGCCATCCCTTCACTACTGGGAGCAGGCCATGACCTCCTGTCCTGTAATAGAACACCCAGGTAACATGTCAGCAATGCACAACAATTTGACCTTAAGGAAGTATGCAACCTTATCAAAGTCGAACCTTAAGGAAGTATACAGACTTATCAAAATTCAACCTTAAGGAAGTATGCAACCTTAGCAAAGTCCAACCTTAAGGATGTATGCAGCCTTATCAAAGTCCAACCTTAAGGAAATATGCAGTCTTATCAAAGTCCAACTTTACGGATGTATACAGCCTTATCAAAGTCCAACCTTAAGGATGTATCCTACATTTCAGTTTTATCTTAAGGGTGTATCGGACTAATGTTTTATGAGTGATCTGTATAGGTATTCCCTCTTTTGAATAGCATTTAATTCAATGAACATAATTTTGTAAGATATTCAGGTGATGTGAATGCATGTATTTGATTATATGTGTACCTTTTCAAGTGTTTTGAACAAACAGACTTGGATTTCCTCATGGACAAATCTCCAAATCTAGAATGGCCAGCACATTTGTTTATCATTACATGCTTTCAATATTTATATATATATATTTTTTTCTTTTTGTAACTATTTTTTTGTGGAGAGCAAATCTGAGTTAAAGAAAACGATAAAAAACTAAATATTTGTTTATTAAAATTGAAACAAAAGAATATATAAAGATAAATATGTAGCTAATGCCGTCTTTTCTGTCAACATTTTTACAGTGGATGGGTCATGGTCAGTCTGGAGTTCTTGGTCATCCTGTCAACAGATGGTCAATGATCCTGCTGCTGGTAGATGTCTCTGTCGCACAAGGTCATGTGATAATCCTAAACCCTTATACGGTGGTTCAGACTGTCCAGGGCAGAATGTAGAAGTGGTCAATTGCACCAGTAAGCAACTTTTCTTTTCACAGAAAAAGTCAAGAAGGAAGTTGTGTCTATTGAAATTGTTTTTAGATCTTGGAATTAGCATGAAAATTATTAACCATATATTTCTGCCAGAATTCCTACCTTGAATTTTCTCTACAGATGTTGTTCAATTACTGGAATGTACATTTGTCTTTTCAGTGCATGGTCAGTGGACTGACTGGACTGAGTGGTCAGTTTGCTCCATCACCTGTGGGTTTAATGGTACAAGGACACGCCAGCGTTACTGTAGCAACCCTCCACCAAAATATGGTGGTAACCTGTGTATGGGTCATACCACAGATGAGGGATACTGTCCTGGTAACCCAAGCTGTCCAGGTGGGTATTATCATTAGTATAAGGCATAGCATGTCCACCTTCTGCTGTATGTTTGTCATGTAAATCGCCATCACACATCACAGTGGAAGATAGAAAAACTCTTGTAGACTTATTATAAACTTTAGGTTTATTTTTGATAAAAGCTGTTGCCTGCAAAGAAAAGTTCAGTATGGCAATAAATCTCATTGGAATCATTTGATGCAGCAAATTTGTAATAAGACAATCCATTGACCTTGTCACAATAGAGGTCAAACCTGATTATTGACTGAGTGTATATCCTCCCCTCTGATTGATGTTCACTATGTATCAGTTTGATAACCATGTATACCATTTATCCGTATAGAGCCCCCTGTAGATGGAGGCTGGGCCCCGTGGACGGAGTGGTCAGATTGCTCAGCAAAGTGTAGTGGAGGCATACAATTACGACGTCGTGCGTGCAGTAGTCCAAGACCCCAAAGGGGAGGTTTCCCTTGTGAGGGTAATATAAATGAAACGAGGATGTGCAATACCTATGTGTGTGATGGTATGTACATTTATCTACATCAAAATATAACTCATTGTAGACAGGTATCTCATGTGCTAAAGCCAAAATCTTCTTTTGAGGAAAGAGGAACATTGTTATTATAGGTAACACCGAGTCCTATTTCCTTCATCTGTACATCTAGATAGATGACGATAGTTTTCCTGTCCCTTCATCCTAATACAATGTACCTTACATAACATACCTCTAAACAGTCTAAACCATTTAGGATTTAATCAGTATTTGATTTAGTCAACATTCACAAGTGTTGCATCATTTATTACACTTGAAGAAAAGTCATACAAGGACACACATTTTTGTCTCTACATGTTAAAAAAAAATAGAAGGTTTTCTTTGACATACTGTTTTATCACAAATGCGGAAGTTTTGATTTATAATGAAACATTTTGATGACAAATGATGCGACAATTTGGAAATTGATTATTTATGTTAATGTATAATCTTGGATAAATGATAAAGAAATGAGAATGGCCTCAGATACTTGTTTATTTCTACAATTTACCAGACCAAGCCTTAATTAAATTGTGAAATGTGATAAGGATTTCAATCACTTACTCATGTTAACACCACCAGTCGTCTTTTATCAAACAATAAAAACTTATATTAGTACTTTGGCAAATATATCCTAAAGTCAGTTGTGTTTGATATTTTGTCAGCAAAGAACCTTTAATCAGGTCTATTTGCTTTCTATAAGTCACACTAAAGATAGCCATGCTCTCTAGATTTCACTTCCACTCACCACTGCATCATGGGATTGGTCACATGGCTTTGATGAACCATCTCACTGCTTTTTCGGGGGGGAGTTTTCAGATCACTGCTTCATAACAATTAATTATCATTCAGCAACAAGATTGAGGTAGTCATTGATAGCATGGACAGAAAAAAAGTTTTATTGGAATGAAAATGAAAACTGTCTTTGTTTCATTGTTGGATATGTGAGGCAGTAAAATCAAAAAGATAATCTTATGAAACAAAATGCAAAACTGGTTTAGAAGGCATAATAAGGATGAGTCCTTTTTTGTAAAAAAGAAAAAAAAAGGAAAATTATATAACAAGTCATTCTTTCCTGATGGAAAACTTGTGGTTGGCGTGCCTACCAGTTTGTCCTTTTTTTTATTCCAGAGATTCAGCGTGTGACACCGTGGAGCCCATGGTTCCGAATAAATTCCACACAAACAGGGGCATTTGAGGAACGATTCCAATTTACTTGTATTGCAAATGTGCCTGATATTAAACAGATTAAGGCATCTTATGCTAAAACTCACATGCGATACTGTGACTACAATAGTGGCGACTGTTATCGTCCAGGTGAGATCATTCATAGTCCCATAGACACACACTCACCTGTTGATAGAGTGATTCGTAAATACTGCAAACATCGAAGGAAGTATTTCAAAAATTATTGCAAATGTAGGACGTTAGGTGTTTTCCTTATATGCACACGATGTCGTAGATCAGGTTGAAAGAATCGTTTTCGGCATCGATGAATTTTCAGCCTTGTTTTGATATTTCATATGGAAAAACAATGTCTCATCATGTTACTTGCACTGCCACTTGTAGAAATCTGCAAACCAGGACAAAGGGCAGACAACTCCAATATACTATTTATATATACACTCAAATCCCTACTCCTACCAAACTATTGCATATATGGCAAATATAAAAAAATGCACCAACTGTTATGGTAACCGGTTGTCATGGATACCGGTTGTCATGGATTAATGCACTTACACTGGAATGTGACCTTTAATGACCTCACCAGTAGCATAGCTAAGGAAGAATGCTGGTTCATTCTGTTACCGTAGCAATGGAATTGTTTCTTAGCAACTAAGCATGTGCTACTTTTTTTTCACTGCAAGCAATGATAAAATTTCCTTTCATTTGGAATGAAATGGCTGATGACTATTACAGCAATGTTTAAGGGACTGTGCAGTCGGTTTGAGGCTGGATCCTTGATCCGAACTTGGAGGCACAGGAGTTTGGAAGGAATTTAATTCTTCATCAGTTTGCATGTTACTATGGAACTAAAATAGTTCAGACTTTTAAGTTTACATTTGCTACAGCTGTGTAATATTTCTTTATTAATACTTTATGTTCCAAAATTTGACAGATCTTTAAAATTTAGTTTCCATAAGGGAGAAAGTTGTTCCTTTATGTCTAAAATGAAATGGACATCTTATTTTATGGCATTTACATGAAAACATTTAAATGAATGTATATTTCAATATTGATATACCCATAATGCACTTGTGTAACTGTATCATAATTTCAGATATGCAAAACTTTAGCTTTTATTCTGAAAAAATGAAAATTATAATTTCGTCTGTTATACATATTTCAACTAATGATGATTCAGAGTCATAAAAACCAATATATGTAAACACTGAACTTCAAAAGTATTTTTTTCTCAAAGCTGAATAACATTTAAAACCTGAAGTTGGATATTTTTGAAGTACTATAGCTCTGAGTGTTTGTATGGTTAGTCTTGTTGGAATTTTACTTGACATATTGTGAATAAACTAGATAATTTGTTGTTTTAAAAGCTTATGGAAGTTCAACTAATTATATATGAAGGGTATTTATATTTTTAATAAGATGTATTGATGCTACCGGAAAAAATCTGTAGGTAATGGAATTATAAAGAAAGCATTTTAATTTGTATAATGTATTTAATTTTTAAGTTATGATAAAATTACAAACTACAAATTGAAATATTTCTGCCCTTATATGTGTTGTAATGTTTGTGGACATGTGAAAATGATGTGAACTAAGAGGAATGAATTTCAGTATGATGAATGGAAGGTTGGTATCAGTTTGCAAGAATGGATTTTTTTATTTTAATTTGCTAATTTTTTTTTTTCCAGTTTTGTTTCGACATTTTCTTTCTCCATCAATTTTTAAAAAGTGTGAAAGCCAAAGAAAATACGGTCATACACTAAAAGTCATTAATTTTGTCATATGTTGAGTAGAATAGGACATTTTTGTAGGATTGAAGGATTGCTTAGTCAAGGAGAACAAAATTCTCTTCATACAAGGTTTGTTTGGACTCGGGAGAGAGGTTAAACTAACAACTCTTGTCTGACTTAACCTTTTGTCTTAACCATCATCAGAAATTATCCATCATGTCATTATAACCAGATCACATAGTCTATGCAATATGAAAGTGCCTGAAAATCTGGAAGCGATATGGTAAGAAAGTTGAATGTTTGTCTGTGGTTTTATATCAGATTGAAAGAATGTTAAAAAATGATGAAATCACCATATCATCAAATGAAAAAAAAGACAGTGTTTGTATTAAGTGACAAAAAATCAGTTTTGTCTTCCATTATATGGTAAATATACACGTGTTGACAGTATTCTGTTTTAGTACCATTGTGATATTTTATAAGGAACATTTCCCCACCAATACCGGTGCTTGGTGTAAATAGGCCAGTCAACCATTTGTGTGTAGTATCCAATCAGATCATTTGATACATTAGTCAACCAATTGTCTGTAGTGCCCAATCGTCTGTAGTGTCCAATCAAATCATGTGGTATGTTAGTCAGCCTGTCATCTGTAGTGTCCAATCAAATCATTTGATAAAGTAATCAACCAATCACTTGATGTAGCACCCAGTTAATCAGGTCAGCTGAGAGAAAACTACCTAAATGTTTTAAGTTACATATCAAAAATTACAACTTCTTGTTGATAAATTCTACAAAGTAGATATTGTGATTCAATTTGCTTTCCATTATCATGGTTAATTGTGTCTGTTCTGTTATGATAGGTAAGATATTAAAGTAAATTTGTTTAGGCAAGATATTTTTATATAAATAGTAATTGTGAACAATATGTATGGATAAATTAATCTGATTTTATGGGCATAAAGTTGATATATGAACATGGTTAAAAGTATCATTTAAAAGTTTAGAAATGGTGTTGATTGGTTAGGTGCATTGCGCGTAAATTTTCACCCTTTAGGAATATCCATGTAGATTGTGTTGAGTATATCATAAATATCCCAACAAAGTTATACTGATTCCACAACAGGACACAGTCTGTTACACACACATTTCACACACACGATGTGCAGTGTGGTCGACTAAAGGTTTGCGTCAATTTTAAAGAAAAGATGTAGTTTTTGTGATCAATGTATCTTCCATGTCAGGTGGATAACAGTTCTTCCTTTTGTTTACCTCCGTTTGCTTCTTAAACTTCTCTGTGTCTTGTATATTCTGTTGAGCCATGACTAACCCATTATTTTATTACGATATTTTAGTGCAATATTTAGAAACAGTTACTACTAGAATGGCACACAAACAGATTTCCATACTAACCAATGCAGGTTTCCATGGCATTTAAGTTTGAATGTGTTCAGTGCTATGCAGTTTATGATTTACAAATCACATGTAGATAGTAATTATTTATTCTTCATGTCATTTGTATTTTCATTTTCATCACCTTTTTTTGTTTTGCATCTGTTTCTAGTTAAGTATCAAGTGTTTAGTGAGATATTATGTCTTCTCCATCAATTTCTATTGACTTAGCAACATTCTAGTGCTTGGTGCTGACAAACCTTATCATGTTGTCTACAGCATACTTGTATACTGTTAATCAATTAATTTTATGGAACTCAACTTTTCCTGGCTAAAAATCTTCGCTTGATTTTGTGATTGAAATATGTGCAAGAATTGTCTAGCGCTAGAAATACTTGTCAGATGTATTCAGATCAGTCAATCAAGGACGTTTCAAAATCTCGAGAAAATCAGTGGAAACAAATTCCTATGAAAAAAAAAATGTGGATATGCTTTATTTTGAATGGTGCATTGAAAGATCAAGCTGTGGCATAAACTGAATACTGATATTATACACATGTAGGAATGGGAATCTGTTATTATTTTTAGTGATTTTTTTATTTAGAACAGGTAAGTATATATAAGCAATGTCTCTTACTGACCTAGAAACATGTCACTTTTTTAATCTCGGTAAATTCAAATTTGATTATAATTTTTTCTTATTTTTACTGATATTTCAAGATTATCTGAGAGTTATATTCTGCATGATAGAACCAAGGATATTTTTATATTACTTAAAAAAACGAAACCTTATCATTCATTGATATAGTATCTTCATATATTTTGGTCATCAGTGAACATTCAAAGATAGTTTTGAACGATAGATTTGGTTTTGTTTGTTTGCTTGTAATTCAGAGGATGCAACAAGTTTAATTTTTCTTTCTTGTGTCAATATTTCATAATGTTTCGTGATAGGATTCCAAAAGTATCTTAATCTCATCCAACCAAAAAATTACAGACGCTAAAAAAAGGAAACCAAATATTTGTCCTTGATAGTCGACCATATTCTACTTAATTTCTACCTTTTTTTCCCAGACTTTATCTTTCTCAGAGTTGTATCTAAGCAACTAGGCTTATCAGTTTATCAGCAGATCACAAATATGAAATATATCATCATTTCTTTAGCCATCACCGATACATTTGTGATTTGACATGATTTGTCCAGATTGGGAACTTTTTATCTTATCGCTTAAAGAAAGAAAGCTTTTTCCTTGTTCCATATTACCAGATATTCAGTATATCATAGATAGGTATATGTACATATTTTTGTGGTCGTCCTTTGTTAGCTGTATGAAAAAATCACTTCCGAATATAAGGGGGTGAATTCTGGTATAGATATATGGAAACATGCTTAAATCAAAGACTGAATATTATCATGAATCTTGTACATTTGTTACCGCATATGTGTATGTTTAATGAATAACATGAATTTACTTAGTAACTACAAACAATTGCATATAAATAAAACAATAAAACATTATTTTCTCCTTTAGTCTTGTTCTTTCTCTATTTCGGAGCATTTCATTATTCTTAAGACTGTAAATCACTTAAATTTTCTTGAATATTTGTATTATTTGAATTGTTTGTACAATAAGTTTGCTGACGTAGCGTGTGTATTGGACTCCAAGTCCATGATACACACGGTGAAACTAGCGATATGTCTTTGGTTGTAAATTCCTCAGACAATAGTTTGTATATATAATATAAATATCTCACAAAAATTTAAGTGATTCACAGTAACTCAGCATGACTGCATCTTGTACGAATCTGAAATATGCTCGTCTTGTTTACCATACCTACTTTGTACTCAAAATAACAACACTGTGATGCGATGTCTAACAAATCCATACTCAGCACATCTCCCAAGTCCTGGTCTCGACCTCAACTGGCATGGCTTCCATTCTCGTCATTGGAAATTTCTTTACGTTCACGTTCAAAGAAAACGTCGAACTGTGCATAAAGAAAACACAAAGAATGGAGAAAAGACTTACGATAGAAAAATATAAAATGGGTGACAACTATAATTGATAGTCGAGGGTTAAGACTAAGATTATAGTTCTGGTTTACTAGATATGAATTATATATTTACTGGTGATTTTGCCACAAAAGAATGAGGGAAAGTTAACATTGTGATATGTACTTTAAAAAATACAAAAAATGGATAATAATTACAAATTAAATTTTTAAAATTGTTTTCAATACAACATTCCTGTCAAAATAAATCTCGTGATGCATGATAAAATGATTATGACACACCAAAACATTGAATATGAAATATGCTTATCAATTACAGAAATGTTTTGGTCATTTGGTCTTTCAGCACTATTCCATGACCACAAAAATTGTTTTTATATCACACAAAACAGAATTTCCACAGCATTTGCAAAATATTTGAAAATGTGACTATTGTATATTAACTTATGATAAGGATTGCCAAAATTGGCAGTTGAAAGGCATTTCCTAAAAGTTTTTTATAATTTTTACAAAATTACTGCTACACAGCGTTTGTTTCACTCAATTGCTATGTTTATTCCAGTGAAATGTTGATTAGTACAAACAGTATTGCTATGGTTTTAGAAACTTAACGTGGTAAGGCTCGGTTTGTCTTAGTTATGTTACAACTAGTAAGTTCAATTTCATTGATTCTCCTTCAAATGGCCACAAGTCTTAACTACAAAATCAGGCACAAATCAACATCAATGATAAATTATGAAACTGCAACATGAGGTTTTGATGGAAATATAAAACAATTGAGATTGAAATGATAAAAGAGAGGTGAAAGGAGGAAAATACATGGATCAGATGTAAGGATGCAAGGATAAGATCATGAGATGAAATATATTTTCATGTCAAGGTCAAACAGTCACTTAAATTGTAACAAGATAGATAAATACAGATTACGTAAACAAAACAAAAAAAGTGGCCGTTCTAATCATTTGGTGGCTTGATAGTGAGTTAAAGTTATACATATTTATCGAAGAATCCTATTCCATATATCTTTCAGATTGAAAGTAAAGATATTTCAAGTTACTACTGTTCCTTGATTACAAACATCTTCATCAGCTTGTCATACATGAACTGGGTTCAGATTTCATCGTGTATTAATGCTCTAGTATATAATTTTTGTTTTATACAATAACATTACAAATATGAATAAGTTCTTTTCTGACCAGAAACTGTAGATCTCGTTAGCCTCACATATAATTATATCAAACTCACAATGTTATACTATTGTTATAAAGCATTTACTTTAAAATTATGAAATACAAATGAGCTAAGATAGAGGTAAGTAATTCTTACCGACAATAGGATGTGATAAATATATAACGTGTCATTCCACTATTGGAATCTTAACCTTGAAATATGTTTATCAGTTATACTGCACAAGACGTTGCGACACGAATGAATGTAACACTAATATCTGTATATTACTTACCTACACAATGTTTCATAGCTTTGAACCTATCACACCCTGCAAGTCACATGATCATGTGAACCTTGAAATCATGATATAGAATGATGTCATACAGTTATGTCATTTGTTTAAAGGTAAACTTTTTAACTGAATATCGTTTGTTTTTATTAAACGACATATACATAAAAATGTACATATACAACAAATTTCCATAAATGTACATGTACAAAACTTGGTTGTAAATAATGATATAAAAATAGTTGACAAGTCATAGATGGTGTATGAAAAACTCCATTCAACAAATTTCAATAATGTGACATACAACACTTTGTTGCAAATGTTGTTAGATTCCACTGTAAAGGTACATGTTTGGAAAAAGCATTAGAATATCAGTAGATTGTACAGACCTCGTTCTTCCGTTATGTCCGCAGGCCTCTGACCCCTGGACCAGTGTACCCCTTTCTTATATAGTCTGCTAAAAATAGCAACAAACTAATACATCTATGACACAATCACCCTCTATTAATGGTCAGCCTCCACTGTATACCGACAAATAATAAATCCCATTCCAAAAATTTTCAGTTTAGTTAAGAACAAACATTTTAGGTCATTCAATAATTAATATTCAAATCATGTAAAAAGTAAACAACAAAATTAAGAACAATCACTACTTCTGGAACATTCATAGATTACAACAAAGTTTAATATGTATTGATAATGTTTAAATCTACATTGTTGTTTATTACTATCATGGGATTTCATTTCTCAGTTCAAAGCTGGTCATTATCATATAATTGATTAATCATAAACAATCAAGATTGACAATAGTTCCCTCAGGTTTTAAAATGTAAACACAAACAAAATATGTGTATAACACAACTTGTTAACCTTATGTAACTATTCTTGTGTATGCGGTTAAGGACATAAAGGCTTAAATCAAAATGCATTTTAAAACTGTTTATATCCTTATATAAATCGAAAATTTCAAAAAAGTATATACAGCAGATTTATATCAGGATATTAAAAGCATTAATGTTGTAAATGATATTCGCAGCCAACATGTTGATGTCATTTACTTCTCAAATTTGAAATGTACTTTAGATCCTAGTAAACTGCTGATAATAAAATTTCCACTGGGTAATTATCAAACATTTTTCTGTGCTTATATTTTTTTTTATTAAATTCTAATTGTGGTACTTACCTCATTTCATCTTTCAGGCTGTAATACAATATATATCACATATACATTTTGTTAGGGACACAACTTTATACATACTGGAAACTTACAATATATACTGGTAGATACTGCTAGATACACAGTTGGTATGTGCTAAATATGAGGGAAAATGTAACAAAACTATATACAATATATCACACACACGTGGCTATAAACACAAATGTGAAATGTTGGCATGTTCAATTGCAAAAATACAATATACATACATATTACAGAAAGTAACCCTATTTCAGAAAATACTAATTCAGATTAAAACTAATGATTTTAAAACTGTGGGAATGTTTACAATAAGCAATAAAGTTTTTAATTTTTTGAAATCGCTAATCTTTGCATGGTAATGCAAGTGTATTACACATTCGTGTCTAACGCAACAGATGATATCCGCAATTTAACACAACACGGAGGGTGGTCGCCATGGAGCACTTTTACCAAATGTACCACCTACTGTGGGGGTGGTACCCAGCAACGTCACAGATCATGTGACAGTCCTCAGCCTTTTGGATTCGGAAAGGACTGTATCGGAGAGGGGCTGGAAACAAGAACCTGCAATACACATTCGTGCGAAGGTAATTTGTGTTAACCTGCAAAACTAATTTAATGACGTTCTATTTAATGGCCTATTTCTTCTCCTTCTATTTGATAAAAAAGTCCATTGATATGATGAAGCAGCCAATATTATGAAATGAGATACAACAATACAAAATTTGATACTCATTTCTCAATCTGAGGAATAAATATGTAATATTGTTATTTTCAAAATCAGCTTTGAATTCCTTTGGAAATTCTAAAGCAATACCTAGTAGTTTTTCTTGGTTACATTTGATAATGAAGCTAAGTAATGATATTGTAAATGTTTGCGTGATTATACAGGTGAGTGGAGTTGTTGGTCTGAATACTCTGCATGCTCTGTAAGTTGTGGGCGTGGCACAAGAGTAAAGGTTCGGAAGTGTCAGAGTGCTGTACCAGGTACCACTTACACCCTTCCATGTCCAGGCACCCACGAAAATGTAGTTTTGTGTTACATGGATCCCTGTAACGGTAAGTTCAAATTCTTTCAAACTGTAGTTTATATTGATTTCTCAGAGTAAATACCTTCGGAGAAATGATTCGTCCTTTCACATCTCTTTCATGATCTGTATTGTCGAGTTTGGCATTAATTCTTATTTTTATTTATTTTTTTTCTTTTTTCATTTTTGCGAAAGTGGAACATATAGGGTTTTCAACTGATGTTATGGAAATGGACTTTGATTTTCTGTATATGTAATCTGTTTTTCAATAAACATGTCTTTTTTCATGAGTTTATATCGAAAATAATCACCTAAACATAATATAGAGCATGTTTTCTTTCTGTTTTGATGGTTTAACAATGGGGCTCCAGGTGGATTGTCTATACAGACATTTGAAAGTCTTGTTTGTTGTATGTAATGGTCGCTTGTCATAATTGTTGGCTTCGTTTACTTCTTTCACCAACAAAAAGTGTCAGAGTGAGGTTTAGAGATCACCAGTATGTTCTAACTTCAGATACTTATGGCTGGGATGAATGGTCACAGTGGACTCCATGTAGTTCTGACGGAATTCGGTTCCGACATAGGTCATGTCGTGTGATCTATCCAAAGCCTGACCAGTGTCAAGGAGAACGAGTGGACACCATGGGGTGTCTAAACAATGATCATGGTATGTAAAACTGACAGACACTTCTTTTCGGTCACTGAATTCTATAATTTTTGTATTCACTTTCCATGTACATTAAAAGATACCAAATTATGTTTTGAAAATAAGTTGAAGAACTCTGAATTGTTAACTTTGTGTCTGTTTCAGTCCTATTCCAATAACATATGTTCCAAGTTTTTGCATTTTAGGGGAAAGAAACATGAAGTAAATGGCACTTTTCAATACAAATTTAGAATAAGGCAAAATGCAAAGAAAGATTATAAATAAATCTACATCATACAGCTGTTTCATCCTTCTAGGACTCTCATTGATACTCAGGGCTAAAGATGTAGATATGCGAAAGGAAGTGATTGTACAAAACTGCAAAATGGTTTTAGCAAATGATATGATATAAAAGGATGGAGCATAAACCCCATATGTAATCAGTTTGATGTATTTTGGATATAAGTCGGCGGACACCTCTATCTGAACATTCGTGATATTTGTTCAAAATTATAATTTATTTGTTGATGACAACATTCATGAAATTGTCCATGCACATTTTTGCTTTTAAACTCACCCTGACATGCGATTCTCAATTTTCAGAAGTCAAAGTCCAGTCTGTCATCGACCGTTCAAGTAAAACAGGACCAACATATAAATTCTTCCATCTAATAGTTGTGGGATCTGCTGCCTTTCTGTTCGGGATCATGTGTACGGTGGGTCTCTACTTGTGTGTGAAAAGCTGTCGAAGCTTCAGAAAACTTGATCTAGAAAAGGAAAGAAGGAAAAATGAATCCAAAAATAGCAAAAGTCGAAAATCTTCTTTTGCATCACAATTAAGCTTAGACTTTCTGACTGTTAACAACAAGATCTATGATTGTAGTACTTTACCACTACCAAAAGAAAGATATATGAAAAGAGATAATTCCTTTAAGAAAACAAGTAGTCACACCATGCTAAGAACTGACTTCACCAATTTTGATATGTAACCTGTAAGTATGTTGTATATTCCACCCATTCCGATGGGCAGCTAAACCTGAATCACTTATCTGACAATTTTCCCTGAATGATAGTAACTAACATGGAATTTTTTGGTTACTTATGTTCCGGATTTAAGAAAAAAAAAATACAAAATCTTTACGGCGATTAACTTTCTTGAAACAGTCAATATTCCTCGTCACCTCTGACCTGGATACCTATAAGAACTTGTTTCACTGTTATGTGTATGGGATGAGTTTTTTGTGATATATTTATGAACGATTAAGTTGCTCGTACAAACATGTAATACAATTACGTGTTTTTAAAGCAAAGTATATATGAACTTGTTTATTTGTACTGTCTTAATTTCTGATTATATTTTCTTTCAATAGTGAACAAAAGTAAACCTCAGGTGAATGTGTATGATGGATAAATTGTTTTTTTTTTGTGTGTTAATAATTTGACTTTGACTACTATAAACTTATACAGTGAAAATTAGTCATAAACACCAGTGAAAACTTACCAGACCTTCTGATAGAGTCCAAAACTTTCTTTACACTCAAACGCCATTTGTTTGCTCTGTACCAAAATTCTTATCATCTGATGGATTGACAAATTTAAGAATCGTCATTTTGTGCTCAAATTTGTGAGGTCCAACATTCTAGATGGTCAAGACAGGAGGTCACTATAATAGATTTCATTTTATCAAAACATAGAACTTATGGCTCGTTCAGTATTTCATTACAAATAGTACTTATAGCTTCATTAGTCTTTGTCATATCCAGGTCCATATACTGATTCACAAAATATTAACTAGTCTTTCCTTTTGATGTCATATTTTGTCATTTTTTTAAATGGCAAGGAACAGGTTTTGTCTATTGAAAAAAAGAAAATAGACAGATATATCTAATGCTAATTCACAAAGGCGATTATTTATATTGATGACTAAGTTGGATATAATGACAGCATTGCTCAATGGCTTGACTGAGATTAATATGTGCAGATATTTATGTTTGTAATCATGTTTCATTTATTATATTCGATCATTTCCATTCCATAACGAAGCACTATAGTAAACATTCATGATGGACGATAGAGTGCATATGTTTGATCTATGTAAGTAAGCAATATTTGTATTTATTATAAGGTTTTTTAAAATGACAAAATGTCATCATGCATATTATTATGTTATTTATTAATGTCTGTATAATGTTTTAATGGATTCTGTAAATAAATGTCATGTATTTTCACGATGTTTTATCACGAATATGTATGTTAGTATTTCTTTCATAACATTGGAAACCCACAAGACTCTGCTCTTGTAGTCTGACTCGAATACAGAGAGCAGAGGCTCCTTGGTTTCTAATAATTTCAATTTGAAAACCACACTTACTCTAAGATAAATCAAGAATTCTATTTATGTATTATGATGTTGAATAATTCAACGTTGATGCCTATTTGTTCATTATAATGCTAAATACCGATAGTAATCATTGAAAAAGAATGAATTTTCAATTTTTATCTTTATTCAAAGAAAAGCTGAACAGATGACTTTACCAAGGTCTTTGGAATAATACCATCAAAATATACCATGTATTTTTTACTTAATGTAATACACTTATTTAAATGAGATAATTATGAATATGTTTTAGAAATTGTAATATGTGTATATATTATTATTTTCTGTTATTTATACATTGTTTACTATGTATATAATGATTCATGGATAAACACAGGTACACATTAACATTATTACATCTGTAAACAATCAACTTTTCATAAGATTTTCATTTTCAATTATAATCATGACTACAAAGTGAATATAAATAAAAACATAGCAAGTCGTTGTTTCTCTAGGTCTAAGAAGAGTTTTTTTTCAGAAATTATTCATGTTTAATTAAGTAGGTTTAAAATATTTAATAATAATCATTTTCATGATCCCGGCCCTTCCATCTGTCGAAGGGAAGTAACTCTGGTAAATCAGAATGACTACTTTGATGAATCTGAAAGTGAAAATTATGGACTGGTTATTGTCTGTTTTACTTCATGTTTCATAATTACATTTATAATGCATTTTTATCAACCATTCATACAACATCAATCCTACATCATGAGACAACAAATTGGCATTTATATCTGTAAACATATCCAGTATATTGATGTCATTGATTCAATCCCATACCACATAGAGAAATCGAAGCGAGGAGAAATTCAATACTGTTATTTAGTACGTCCCATATAAATTGGTTTTGAAATGTAAGATGTGAGTACAAAATGTGAAAAAAGGAGCATGTCAGAAGTTAAGATCATGTGAGTACAAAATGTGAAAAAAGGAACATGTCAGAAGTTAAGATCATGTGAGTACAAAATGTGAAAAAAGGAACATGTCAGAAGTTAAGATCATGTGAGTACAAAATGTGAAAAAAGGAACATGTCAGAAGTTAAGATCATGTGAGTACAAAATGTGAAAAAAGGAACATGTCAGAAGTTAAGATCATGTGAGTACAAAATGTGAAAAAAGGAACATGTCAGAAGTTAAGATCATGTGAACAAAATGTGAAAAAAGGAACATGTCAGAAGTTAAGATCATGTGAGTACAAAATGTGAAAAAAGGAACATGTCAGAAGTTAAGATCATGTGAGTACAAAATGTGAAAAAAGGAACATGTCAGAAGTTAAGATCATGTGAGTACAAAATGTGAAAAAAGGTCAAAGTTATGTCAGAAGTTAAGTTATCATGTGAGTACAAAATGTGAAAAAAGGAACATGTCAGAAGTTAAGATCATGTGAGTACAAAATGTGAAAAAAGGAACATGTCAGAAGTTAAGATCATGTGAGTACAAAATGTGAAAAAAGGAACATGTCAGAAGTTAAGATCATGTGAGTACAAAATGTGAAAAAAGGAACATGTCAGAAGTTAAGATCATGTGAGTACAAAATGTGAAAAAAGGAACATGTCAGAAGTTAAGATCATGTGAGTAAAATGTCAGAAGTTAAGATCATGTGAGTACAAAATGTGAAAAAAGGAACATGTCAGAAGTTAAAATCATTTGCTATCTGTATTATGTCTCATTGTTAATACCATTATAAAATGTCCATCACGTTTTGTAAGATAATTTTTCTGATTGAGCCATGGGATCAGATTTGCCACAAATGAGATGAGCACTAAGTGAATATATGTGTGCCTATGTAAAACAAATAGAATGCAGCATTTACAGAACCAACAATCTCACTGACCATTGTCTGAATGTATAACTTGTCCAAGTGATGATGAAAACAGCCCTAGTATACAGGCATAACCTGCACAAAAGAGCATTTTAGTTTTATTATCCCTGTAGTAGGGTTTATAAGACATGAAAGTTATAGTAGACAGGGTTTGGACCAATGTGACCAAAACTTACTTTCACAATTGAAAATAAAGAATATATAGAAAATGAAAAGTCTTTGCTTTGCTTTACATTTGACAACATCGATCAGAATCACGAAGAAGAAGAAGGAGCAAGTCTTGATGGAGAAATGGTTACAACAACCTCAAAATTAGGCCCTGGAATGAAGAATTAACTCTGATATGTTGATATGATATATGACTTAAAAAATATTGTCCTGTCCCTCTCATCTTGACAATTAACTCATGGTTTGGATAAATTGTTTTAAAATATAAATCCTACACAGATTTTTGTACAGGTACGTTGACGGTGGAATACATCAAAGCATTCACCTGACAACTTCATGTTTTCATTTTCCCTTTCGTGAATTTTCCATTGTTAGGTAACAACATTCCTACATACCCAACCTATGGTGTCTAGATGTCTCAGTTGATTCAATATTCAAGGGCCGGTTCCCGATATCATGATTTTCATGCAAGAAGTTATTAACAGATAATCATAATATAGGGATTCAAAGATGTAGTATGTTGAAAATTGTGTTAAGTTTTACTGTAATCATAGTGATCTAATTGAGAAATAATATATTTCTTTGTGCGATATGAAGCTGAAAGTGTTGAATGCTCATTATTTTGCCTGTTGGTGCTGTTGTTGTATGCCTTGTTCTCATTTGAAAATGTGACATTACTTACTTGAATTGACCAAGATTTACATGGCAGTTGTTTTCCGATGAAGCAGAGGACGCTTACTCTTACAAACCACCTGGTCATATTCTGAATGCTCCTTTTCAGGAGTCTTCATGTAAGCTTTCTTTTGTTCATATTTTACCCTTTTTTTTTTCGTTTAATTTGGCTTACGGTTATGTTCACAAGTTGGTACTTTATTTGTTGTTTTTCAAATATTCAACTTTACACAAGTTAATACAATCAATTAAACCTCCCCAGGAATGTGTTTTATGATTATTTCAACAAGTTGAAATTGTGCAATTGCTTAATTATATCTATTATTTGTGATAATTTTGATAACCAACTAGAACACTGACAGGTCAGCAAGGGCCCCGCTATGTTGCTGGAAAACCCTTCCCAACATCCCCCGTCCACCACCCTACCCTTAGACAGACATAATCCAGACTAAGAGATTACTGGCAAGACCTCACATATACTTTGCCACAAAGGTCAAAAAAGACTGTTATAAAAAAAATACTAAAATATACATTTAATAATCTGATTTTTTTTATCTATAATAACTGACCTTGACCTTAGAACTTCAGATATAAAAAGCAATATCCCAAGGAAGCACTTTTAGTAGGTAAGCATTGTATAAAGTTTGATTTAGATTGGGCAAAGCAAATTCAACTCATCATACAGAAACTGACTTTAACTTACAGTTACAGTGACCTTTGACCTGAATAGTAATCTATCTCAAACAAGCACTTTTGGTTTAATAGAACTGCATCAAGTTTGAGTTGAATTGGCTACACAAAATGAATTCTCCATTATAGCAACAAGTTTTGGTGACAAAGGGCAATAACTCTGCAAATATTTGTTGTTGAAACTTGAAATTGGTTTGTGACACTCTGCATTCCCTAGATATATAAATATAGCAAGTTTGGTGAATGTCGTTCACCAACATGGAAGTTATAGGCCGGACAAGTTTTGGTGACAAAGGGCCATAACTCTGCAAATTTTCGCTGTAGAAACTGGAAATGAGTATGTGACACTCCGTAATGTGAAGATATGTATGTATATGTAGTTTCATAAAGATACAGCAGTTGTCTCTGAGAGATGCCAGAAGCCAAAAAAATGGACAGACAGACGGCTCGACAGACCGACGGATGGCCGGCAGGACAGACGGACGGAAAACCTGATTACTATAGGGCACCCGCATCTCCGATGCGGGGCCCTAATTAACAGATGACTCATTAGAAAGAATTTATCAAGACCAGGGTTTTCCATAATTTTGTTAGTAGTAGGCTGTGTAGTGAAAGTAGGAGGCTGGCCTGCCGTGTACGTGTAGTTGTGCACGGAACAGGATTGGTGTAGGCGGCCAAATGATCAAAGTAGCCAGTCAAATTGGCCGGCGACCGGCTTTTATGGAAAACCCTGAAGATATAGATCAGTGTTATCAGCCAGTTTTAACTACTGAAGATAAAGTCTTCGCTGATTCTTTATTTCTCCTTTACTAAATAGTAACACGCCTGCTTTCACAGCATGTCCAGGTCTCATATTTCATTAATGACGTAGCTACAATTTGTATATACCAGGCAGTGCATACATACATGTACACATGGTAAAGGTTTTCTAGCATAGTAACTTCTATTACACAAGGTGTGACGCTTATCATGGTAAAATGATACTAATATTCGTTTGCATTAATTCAGTGTTACGGTCATTCACTGAGATATATTCAAGTCTGTGGTGTTGCCTTTCAGATAATCACCATCATATGTTACTGAAATTATCACCCTGTCACAAACCATTCCAAACAATAGTGTGAGGTGTCTGAACATATGGAACTAGAGTTGTCGAGTTCCAAATCTTTTGTAAAACAGTTCTGAATTGTCCAAATATCATCTACGCAAGAACATGTGGGATAAACTATTTCATTTTTAGAATCGCAGAGTAGACATGTTCTAATGACATGCATTATTCTCTATACCTGGATTGTCTTGACTGTAGCGTTGATTACAAGGTGTGTCACATACTGACATGTACAGATGTGACATGTGGTGAGGAGAAATATCCCTACAGCTGCTATTGCTGGTTAAAGACAGGCCACATGTCAATTTTTCATACACTTGGATGTTTATTTAGATGTCTTCTGTTGTAGACAGATCTAGATTTTCTTATCTTGAGAACATATAAGATACTGTAAAGACCCTCCCAAACATACACAGAATCCTCATTTTTTTGCATTTACTGAGGATACTTGTACATTTTTCTCTTTGAAATGGTTTAATTTTTAAGATTTAATTATTGAAAATGTCCCTTTAAAAATCTAAACTAATGAAAAAGAGTTTGCCAGTTTTCGAAAATTTCCTTTTTATTCAGCTGTTTAACCATTATATATACAGATTTTGTGAGCACATAGGACAGCAGCAATCAAAAACACAATGTTACATTGATTGAGATCTAACATTACACAGTAAATACTAGAAAAAGCAAACCCATGTGTGTAGTACCTTTACTATCCATCTACTGTAGAAACATACTAATATTTAAATCATATTATGCATTTTAACGTTC